TACCCTAAAGAAACCTGAACTGCCACCCAGGCAGATATACGCACACCCATGTTTATTGTTGCTTTGTTCAAAATAGCAAAGAGTTGGAAACAACCAAGTGCCTATCCACAAATGAATGTTTAGAGAAGCTGTGGTATATCCACACATGAAATACTATGCAGCACTGAAAAACAAGGAACTCATGAAATATTCTATAAAGTGGGTGACCCTGGTGGACATTATGCTAAGTGAAATATTTCAGTACCAAATGGACAAATACTGCATAATGTCACTGTTATAAACAAGACTGACATCGGGGGGGGGGAACTAAGAACAGAGGGGATAAATGACATACATTGCATTGAAACAGATGAGGGATATATTCCTATTTAAAAGGAGTATATGATTAGGTAATATTTGCATGACAAGTGTCCAGAATAAGAGCTGTATGGTAAAGTGGACTGGGTGGGGGGAGGTATTGTATAACAACAAAAGAACATTTTTTCCTTTTTCAAAGAGAAAAGTGAACTGGAGAATAGCACAGGGAGGAAAATGTGCAACAATAAATGATGGGGGAAAATTAAATATTTTAAAAATACTCTTGTGTAACTAGAAATAGAAGAGTGTTTTTAATAAGACATTGCCAAACTTGAACCAATATTTGATGTAACCAATATTTGAAAGTATGTTGATATGGGAAGGCTACTTAGGACTATTAAAAAGTAGAATTCTATGCTACTAATTTAGGGAGCTCTGCTGGTCTAGTGGTCAGAAGCTGTGCTGCATTCCCAAAGGCCACAGTTTGAATCTGCCAGTAGCTCTGTGGGAGAAGAATGGGTAATTTCCTTGGGTGAGATTTACTACTTCTGAAAACCTACTGGTGGGAAGATCAGCTATGGGTTGGTTCCAACTCAACTGTTCACAACAGCAACAACAACAACTGCACTTAATTAACTTTGTTCTGGAATTTTTGGACTGTACATTCATACAGAAAATATGATAAGCATTGCAGCTTTTGAAATGGAGGGAGCATTATAATTTATTGAGAGTAATACTGTCTTCCACACTCGATTAATAGCAAAATTCAGGCATGGTTTTAGATTAAAAAATGAATTGCACCATTATTTTCACACCCATGAGCAATAATAAGTTGGAAATTATAATAGAATAAACCATCCATAAACAAAAAATCAGTATTTTTTTTTATATTTACGGGGTCTGGAATGGAGAAAACCATAGATTTATTAATATACATGAAGCAAAGTCTGAATAAACAGAGAGACAGACTTGAGGTGGCTAATTGTATAGTGTAGTTCTTCTGAATCTTTGTTGAGTTTCTTTTAAGTTAACCTGTCCTTTATTGAAAATGGTGTGTTAAAATCTTCTACTACTATCGTGGTGCTAATTCTTTCTTCAACTAAGTTAATCATTGTTTTATGTATTTTTCAAGTCTATCATTTGTTGACCAAGGTTATGTCTTCTTAACTATTGGACCTTTAATAATAATATAGTTATAATTATCTTCTATGGTGGTTTTCATTCTGAAGTCTATTTAATCAGAGATTAGTATTGTCACACTTGCTATTTTTTGAAAAACATTTGTTGGGTATATATTATTCTAGCATTTAATTTTTATTCTATTTTTTCTTGTTTTTTAAGATATGTCTCTTGTAGGCGAAAGATTGATAGGATTTATATTTTTAACTGTGTTGTTGCTCTTTTTCTCTTAATTGGTACAATTAAGCCATTCACATTAAATGTGATTGGTGGCAGGCCAGGTTTTATTGTTGTCATTTTGTTGTGCTTCTTTTTCTGTTGTTGGTAGTTATTTTGGTTCATCCACTTTCCTTTGTTATCTCTGTGTGAAGGACTTCCCTTAGTATTTCTTGTAGTGTTGGTCTTTTTTTTTATGAATTCTTTAAGTTCCTGCTTTTCTGCAAATAGCCACCTTTCATTTTCATGTTTGGTAGACAGCATTACTGGGTATAGGGTCTGGGGCTGGCAACTGTTTTCTTTCAGCCTTCAGCATATACCATCCTATGTGTTCTCATTCATATGGTTTTTGCTGAGATATCAGAACTTGGTCTAGCTAGTTCTCTTTTATAATTGACTCTTTTTATTGCACTGCTTTTAGTATTCTATCCTTAGCTTTGATTTTGGAGAATTTGGCTATGATGTCGTCTTGATGTTTTTATTTTAGGGTTTCATCTGTTTGGAGTTTCCTGAGTTTCTTGAATGTGGATTCCCTTGTTTTTCATGATACCCAGAAAGTTTTCCTCTAACACCTCTTCCACAATTTTCTCACTTCTTTCCCACTTCTGCTCCCACTCCTATTCTGGAATCTTGATGACACATATGTGATTCTATTTGAAGTTATTCCACATGATTTTCATGTTTTCTTAATTTCCTTTCTGCATTCTCTCTACTTTTAGTGAGTTCCCATTAAGGTTCTTGTTTCCTAGCTCACTGTTTCTGTTCTAGCTCTCCTATTCTGCTTTTTTGTCCTTTTATCAACCTGGAAAATTCTACCATTTGTTCTTGATATTCTGGACTGGATTCTCATGCATTTCTGTTATTTCTTGTACTGTGCTGGTTGTACACTCTCTGTCTTGTGATGGTTTTTTAAAAAATTCTTGTAGCTGTTTATTTGTCTCAATTCTTTCTTTCATCATTTGGAACTTCATCAATAGCTGCTAATATAACTTGATGTCACTATATTTCTTCTGCTTCCCTGTATCTGAGGCATTTGTTGGGTCTGCAATCTGATCTATGTTTTTAGGAGAAGGCTTTTTTGTTTTGTTTTGTTTTTCCATAATGTTTAAGGCTGATTGACATTTTCTTGACATTATATGAAGGGTTTTTTGGTACATGTGAGGAAGTTGTGTCTGTGTAGGTTGCTGACAATTCCTTATCTTTATGATTCTATTGTTGAACACTTAAAGTATTGGCTCTAGTTGAGTTTCCAGTGATGGTATTTCCTACTATTTATTTGTGGGCAGATCTATTGCCTGTTTCCTGTGGCAAGCTTCTTATATATGGTTGTCCTTTGAATGGCAGGGAGCTGAGGTCTTTCCTTTTGCCTAGCTGTGGTAAGCCAGCTTCTCTGTCCTGTTCCATAGTTTATTCGAAGTGGAATTTCCTCCAGGGATAGGCAAAGTCCTACAAGTGCTGCCTAGAATGTATTACTTAGGGAAAAGGCCTAGGAAAGTGGCAAGTCCCCAACAGTGCAGTCTCCAAATTCCAGTAGTTGCTAATGCTCATGTACATTTTCCCTCTCCTGATGATGGTTGGGGTGGGGGTGGGTGACTCTTTCTGTCTGAGCAGACAAAGGCTTAGGGAAATGCTAACTTCTAAATAATGCAGCTTCCAATTCTTGCTGCTAATTTCCAAGTTTACCTGCATCTCCTCTTCAGAAGCCACTGACTAGAAGGGCTGCTATTTCCTTCCCCACAAGCAGATAATGACTCAGGGAGGTATCAACTTCTCAGCAATTCAGTTCCCAATTCTGGCTACCCTTTAATGTCTAGATCTGAGTACCTCCTGGGGCTATTCACACCAAGCAGACAAGGATTCAGGGAAGCACCAACCTCTCAACAATGCAGCTCCCAATTCTTGTTGTTAATGTCCAAACATACTGATGTTTCTTCTTCAGAAGCCTACTGTTGGAAAGGCAACTATTCCTGTCCAAGCAGTCAAAGGCTCAAGTAAGCACCATTTTCTTTGCAATGCAGTTCCCAATTCCAACTACCCTCTAGTGTAGAGTCATGTGTCTCTTGGGGTTGTTTGGGTATTGTAATGCTTTTTAAATTTTTATTGGTGTTTACATGTGGTTCCAATTCTTTCTACTATCATTTGTAACTTCTTTAGTACCATTTCCAGGCCCTCCACGTTCATATATTCTTCTGCTTTTTTTGTCTCCAGGGTATTCACTGATTCTGTGATTTAGTCTGCTTTTTTTAGGAGAAGGTTTGCTATATATTTTTTCATAATGTTTTAAAATGACTGCTGCTGCTTTGACATTATGTGAGGTTTTTAGTTTACATGAGGCAGATTCTGTTATGTTTTTGTAGGAAGTTTCCCATTCCTTTTATTTACAACACTATTGATACTGTTGTAAAAGTTAAGTTTTGCACTCAGTTCAGTTTATCAACAACAATCTTCTCTGCCAGTATTCCCTGTTCAGGTGGCAAACTTCTCTCTGGTTCTATGGATGACCTGCAAAGTACTTCCCTAGCTGCTGGCTGGCCCCTGACAGTAACCTTGTGGTTGGGGGCAGAGAAGACTCAGGGGTTTCTGGAGGTGGAGTAGACTCACAGGTGACCTATAGAAGCTTCCTTTCCTGCTAGTTGGTTTGAGCAGCCCACGAGGTGCTCCCCTCTCTGCTGGCCTGTGTGGTGGCCAACATGGCTCTTCCCTCTCTATTGGCTGGTTCCATGTGGTGAATCTCTTTTCTTTTTTAAAAGTGTCTCCGTGTGGCCAATATTTATTTATAAGACTTCTCTAGCTCAAAGGCTTTACTTGTAACTTCAAAATTTTATTTTATTTTTCAGTCTAAAAATTCAACTTAAAGCCATTATATTGAGGGAAGTAAATAAAAATTTTTGTTCACCTACTATAAGTGCTAGACCCTTTATATAAAATGCTTTTTGTCCCATTTTTCCTTCAGGCCTAGAAAGTATGCAATACATTTTACAGGAAGAAATAAAGCAACTTGCCCAATGTTAAGAAAGAGGTCCTGTATTCATTTACATATGTGTGTAAAATGAGTCTTAACTCATTGTAAAATGACTCACAATGAGGCAGGACTCAAGCTTTGATTCAACAATACCTGTGGTGAGCAGCAAGTTAATAAGTCTCTGCACATCGACTCCATCACCTAAGACCACTAAAATTCAGTCATGGTTTTGAGGTAATGCAACTGTTTCTCCATCACCTAGTCATTTTATCAGTCTGTTGCAACCATGGGGAGGGTGAGAAAGGGTGAAAAACAATTGAAAAAAATCGAACTTTCTTACACTTACAGTTTGTGTAGATGGGTTTTCGAAATGGCTTTCCCTTAGAAAAGATAAATGCTACAGTGATACAGTTGAGGGTGGTGATGGGCCACAGTGTGGTGCTCTCAAAACTTAAAATTGAACCAGGCTGCAGAGTCGCATTGCCAGTACAGCTTCTTTCCAAACTCACATTTGTTGCAAAATTGCTTTGGTTGGCCAGAAAGCATTCACTGCAAAAGAATCACAAGCATTTAAGAAATTTATTTTTCATTCCACTTTTATTCAATTGGTGTGTGTAGGGGGTAAGGTTAATTATTATCATGAGACCTGAACTTTCAAACTATTGCAGGCACTAACTACTCAGATGTATTTTGTGCAGCTCTCACAGGGACAAAACAAAAAGGAAACTTAGAGGAAATCAAGATTGTGCTTTGTTCAGCAGCCCATTTGGGATATGTAATACGTATCAAAAGGGATTTGGATGACAATTTTCTACACAATTTCTTCCATTTCAAAGAGTAAATTAATTACATGTATGTGTGTATGTGTTTGGATTTCTCTTTCATGGATTAATACAAGCCTCCTATTCTGCTTCCTGAATTTGATTCTCCATTCTCATACAATCTATTCAAACATCGAAAAGATCTTCTTCCTAAAGACCTACAAATGATAGTTTATTGCTTAGGAAGTGTCTACAATTTTACTTTGCAAATAAATCATACCAAACTTCACAGCTTTGCTTAGAAGACCCTTCATTCTGCTCTCACGCATGCTTTCTTGGTCTCAGCTCTTGCCATTCCTCTTATATGCTGAATTCTACACATATTATATCTGACTCACCCAAATGTCACAATCAGCATATCCCCATTGTTAGACATTCTATGCCCTCTATCTGCAGAGGGAATATTCAGTCTTCAAATATCACTAATCTGAAATATCTTTGCCTTCACTAACAAGTGGAATTATTATGTCTCTTATTTCTTCTATTGACCCCTTACTTAGTTCATTGTTTTGTAGTTAGTTTATGTAAATTGTTTTCTGACCCTTGGGTATGAGTTCTTTAAGTGTCAATTTTGTTCCTACCAAGTGGAATGGATGGGGTTGGGGAGGTGGGTGGCGGTGGGGTATAACACAATATTTACTCAGAAGATTTGCTTAAGACATGGCCTTTCCCTATCTTGATTGATCTATTTTTCTTTTTCCCCCTCAAAAATAATAACATTCACAAATTCAACTTCCATGTTTGAACCGCCTCTTTTAAGCTTCTATTTTAACTGTTTAGAACCAAATCCCAAACCACTGCTATCTAGTCGATTCTGACTCAGAATAGAACTGTTAATAGCGTTTCCAAGACTGTAAACTTTATTGAAGCAGATTGCCCCATCTTTCTTCCATATGACTATATATTGCTGTTGTTATGTGCCATCAAGTCAGGGCTGACTCACAGCTGACCCTCCAGCAGGTTTTCAGAGGCTGTAAACTGCATGGGAGGAAATTGTCCATTGGTCTCCTGCAGAAAAGCTGGTGGATTTGAGCCACCTGGCTTTGAGTTGAAAGGCAACTTCTTACCCATTAGGCCATCAGAGCACCCTGTAACTATTTAGATATATACATATGCATATACATATAGTTATGTGGAAGCTGAGGCTCTTAAAGCACAGTTGGATATTCAGAGCTTCCCAGAACTCCTTCCTTCCTGTCCATTACCCTTTTAGCTACCCAGTATTATGTCCTGGATTCAATCAGAACTTTAGATCTTTAGATAGAATTCTTTCTCTAGGGGAGGAAAAAATGGAATGCTCTATTCCAGGTAATGCCTGAATTCCTTAATTTTGAAGGTAAACGATGATCTTAAACATTACTCAGTATTTTCCATCTACGTGTCATTGACTTCTGGGACTCTGGTAACAATGGTATCAATTTGGTGAGGGATACATGCCTTCCTTCACAGAGCAGAGTTGTTAGTTCTCTGTCTCTTTATGGGGAGGTTGCAGGAGGTTTTATGAGGAAAAAACCCCCATAAATTCTGAATATTTGTATTTTAAATAATACATATCTTCCTTACTCAAAAGTTAAGAAACTGAAGTTTATGAAGTGAATAAACTTTCCCTGAGTCCTATCAGATAGAAACAGTAAACATTAACACTAGACCTGCTGATTAGACTTTGAGTGTCCCAATTTAGAGAATTAACATTTTTATTTTAACTTTCATTTTAAATACTTAATTTCCACATATTTTCCTATGTGTATGAAAAATAAACATGCAAATGACAAACAAACTCACTGCCAACAAGTTGATTCTAATTCATAACAAGCCTACAAAGAGTTTTGAAGCTGTAAATCTTTTCTGGAGGAGACCGACCATCTTTCTCACACATAATATCTAGTGGGCTTGAACCACCAACTTCACATTTAACACCAAGGTTCCTCAGTTTCAATATTTGAAGTCAGCAAACTGTCCTACAAGTCAAATTGAATCTATTTTTGTAAATAAAGTTTTATTGGAACACAATCACATTCTAGTTTATGTGATGCTCAAACTACAAAGGAATTATATATTCAAACATACTCAAACATGTTAGAGTTATACATGAAACAACCAATGTGGCAGATCTCTTCCTATCCACTCCATGTACCCCACACTAGCCCTGTGCCCTTTATTTGGGTCCTTTGTCCTAACCTATCAATTTCATTTTGCAGAATGCTGGCACAGTTTCACAATTTTACTATCTAAAATTTTAGGATTGTTGTTCAAACCAAGTTGCTCCATTTAGTTGACTACTCATTATATGTTTCTCAATGAGGAAAACAAAGGAATGGAACTTTACCTATATTTGTAAACTTCAAAATACCAGGGCTGCTGCTTCACAAAAAGAAATGCACAAATCTGCATGATGAGGGTGAAACAGGTATTCAAAAAAACGGAGAGCAGCAATGGTGGAGAGAGGAGCTGTCCTGCGGGTCTGTAAGGAGCCAGCTTAGGGTAGGCATGGGTTGAACTCACTGAAAGACAATGGATTTTTTTATCCTGTTACAATTTAATAATTGAGAGTGAAAATTAAGATGCATATTCTCTTACTCTTGAATGAGGGTTCAAAATGAGCTAACTGAATTAAAAGTCTCCACCCAGGCAAATATATACTCTCGTGGCATGTCTAAACCTACATGCTTTTTATCTCATTTATACTTTCTTTTCATTATCTTAAGAACAGAAAGTAATTAGCTCAAAAATTCTGCAATCATACAAAATTTATTATATTGTATACATTCTGTTTAACTAGGCTAAGCAGGAATATAACATAAATTAGGAAATGACCTCCTGACTGGAGTTCATTCAAGGGCAGCTTAACTCATTGCTGACAAAATTTCATAATTTTATTAGCTAAAATTTTAGGATATTTGTTCAAACCAAGTTTCCCTATTTAGTTAACTGCTTACTGCATGTTTCTCAGAGAGGAAAACAAAGGAATGGAACTTCACCTATATTTGTAAACTTCAAAATATCAGGGCTGCTGCTTTACAAAAAGAAATCTGTGTGATGCACAAATACACCATTGAGTCAGTACTATGTCATAGCAAACCCTCCAGCAGGTTTCTAAAGCTAAAAAATCACAAAGAAGATGCCCATCTTTCTTCCATGGTGGATTAGAACCTCTAGGGAGACCCAGTCTTTAGATTAGTAGTGCAGTCTCCTACAACTTTTGTCATCAGTGCTCCCTCTGAATAGAATAAACTAAAAAACTCTGTGCTGTGAAGTTGGAACCAACTCAGCTGATCCTCCAACAGGCTTTCTGATGTTTAAAATTCCATGGAAGGAGATATTGCTCAGCTTTCTCCCTTGGAACCATTGTCTTCAACCAACAGATAGGCACTGCCTTTGGGTTAGCAGTGCAGTTCTCTACAGAATTCCCACCAGAGCTCCCATGTATGGAGTAGTTCTGAATGAGGTTATTGTTGTCATGTACCACGGAGTGGGAACCAACCCATAGCTGGCCCTTCAGTGGGTTTTCAGAGGCAGTAGATTTTAAGAGAGGAAACTTCTGGTTTTTCTCCTGTGGAGCAGCAAGTGGATTCAAACAGTCTACACCTTGGAAAATGTGCAGCTGGAGTGCTCCTTGGAGGTAAGGATGGCAAAGCGTCATCTCTCATAATTTAAACATGTTGCTAGAAGAGACTATTCCTTGGAAAAGGGATGATTTAAAGGTGGAGGGTCAGTGAAAGAAGATGATTCCCCCTCCCTCCCAATTGAGATAGATTGACACAATGACTTCAGCAATGGGATCAAATGTATCAGACATGGTTAGGACGCCACAGGATAAGACAAGGTTCTGGTTTGTTGTTTAGAGGGTTATTATGAGTTGTCCTCAACTCAATAGCACCTAACAACAACCAATCCATTTTGGGTCGGCTGCACAATTCCTTACCACTTAGCCACTATTACAACTTTCTCTCGATGAGGATTGAAATGAAATGTTAGAATGAGAGTAAGGAGACTGGCGAGACTCTCTTTGATGTTGTTGTTGTTATATACTGTTGAGTCGCAACAGCTCTGAAACCTGCTCTAATCCAAGCCAACCTTATTGTCTCTGACACCTACCCTTACTCTCAAAGGGGAGGACTTCCCCTATTATTCATTCACCACATTTCTGAAAACTCTCATTTGTGAGGAACTGTGTCAGATGCTAGAACTTAGTTCTAGGCCCCCCTAGGTAAGCATGTGAGCACAGGCCTGATAGCGCACATTACACACAGTATGGAAAAATAACTCATAACAATTCTATTCCAAAGGAGAATTTTAAAGGATATTGAATTTTTGAGCCAGGAATTTATCTTTTAAATTTGAAAAGATTAGTTAGCAATGGGTGAAAAGTAAAGAGAACAACCCCTCCTCAATTAAGATAATTACATCTTTTATAGAAGTGCTATGTTCTAACAAGCAGATGAAAAGGAAGTGTGCTTTGTCTGCTCAAGGCAAAACAGGGTAAGGGAATTAGAAATACCACATTTAAAGGTATGCAGCATTATCACTCTTTGTTTAATTCCTCTCTTTGCATCTGTCTTTTCTTCTCTTTCCACAGCTTATGATTACTTTCTTTGCTATAAGGAAGGACATAGTGGGAATTCTGGAAGCTTGTTCAAAATATATCTTGCAATTCTGTAACTCTTACTTATCTGGTCCTTCATTTTTACCATGTATAAAACTAACTTGTTAAAATGGCGAAATGGTTTCCCAAGGCTCTTCCATCTCAGTTATTCTAAAACTTTACAGCTCTCCAACTTGAAAATGTCAGAAATTCAGCTGCATTTCAATAGCAAAAATATGACCTAAAAGAGAAGCTAAAGCAAAAGGAAAAAATTATGAAATAAGAGAATTGAATAGAAGATTTCAAAGGGCACCCAAGAAGACAAAGTAAAAATTTTAACAAAATATGAAAAGATGTGGTTAGAAAACAAAATGAGAAGAACAATTTTGTTATTTTTTTTCAAGCACAAAAAGCAGAAGAAAAGATTCAAGCCCTGGGTTGCCATAATGAAGGATTCTATGGGGGAAATATTGAACAATTCTTGAAGCATCAAAAGAAGATGGAAAGAATATAGAGAGTCACTGTACTGAAAAGCATTGGTCAACACTGCATTTCAGGCTGCATATAATGAAGAACCAATGGTGCTAAAAGAAGAAATTTAAGCTGACTTGAAGGCACTGGCATTGAAAAAACCAAAAAACAAACAAACAAAAAAACCCAAACCGTGATGAAGTGTCAACTGAGATATTTCAGCAAGGAAATGCAGCCATGAACATATTAATTCATCTGTGTCGAGGGATTTGGAAGACAGCCAACCAATTGAAGGAGATTTGTATTTGTGCCCATTTAAAAAAAAAAAAGAAGATAATACAACAAAACACAGAATCTATCAAACAAAGTCATTAACACATTGCTGCACATTTTTAAATTGACGACCGTCCTTAGAAACACATATAGCCATCATTTGAGGCAACGTGTTAATGTAATGCACAAGTAAAATCTCGCTGACGATTATTTTAAAAATGTTCAGAGCAGTAGAGTGATATGGAACTGCCAGAAATTTAATCCTAGATTAAAAGAAGAATGTAAAAAGGAACAAAGAATATAATTGCTAATGCCAGAAAGAAGATACCAGAATAGGGTTTACTTGTGTTTATTGATTGCACAGACAACCAACTGTGTGGGCCATGATAACACTGAGAAGAATAATAATTTTAGAACACTTAATTATGTTCATTTGGAACCAGGATATAGATCAAGAAGCAGTCATTTGAACAGAACAAAAGTATATTTCAAATAACTATATTAAAATAAGATACTTAAAATAAATTAGAGTATTGCACATCAGGACAGTATCCTTTTACAATATGTTGAGCAAATAATCTGAGAGGCTGGACTATATAAAGAAGAATGTGGCATTAGGATGGAAGAAAGACACACTGACAACCTGTGTTGTGCTAGCACCACCTTGTTAGCAGAAAGCAAAAAGGGTTTGAACTATTTACTAATCAAGATCAAAGGCTACAGTCTATTCTTTAACATTAAGAGGGGAAAAAAATCTGAAGGACCTAGAAGATTCTCACCATGGCTACACCTGCAGTTCCTCGAAAGTAAAATGAGAATTCTTTTGGACCTTCAAGCATCTCTGATCCAGGTACTTCCACCCTTGAACGCTCCGGACCTGAAATTGTGGAGGCTGGTTTTCCACAGGACAATACATCCCTGCACACTCTGATTCAGGTACTCAGCCTACTTTAGGGAGCACCAATATACAGGTCTCTGCCAGAACATTGCCTTCCCCTGGGGCATTACACAATTATAACAGTTTAAATCTACAAAGAAAGGCTTTACATAATGTCAAGAAAGCAACAGGCAGACTCAAACATTATAAACAAAATAAGCCTTCTCTTAAAAAAGCAAAGCATATTGCAGACATAATGAATACTCCAGACACAGAGAACCAGAAGAAACATGTTTATATGGAGTTATTTGAACAACTACAGAAGAAGATGCAAATGATGGAAGAAACAATGGAAGTCATTAAGAAAGTAAATTCTCAGAGACAGAGAGAAAGAAGAAATATATTGATGGAGAGGAAGAATATTCAAAAGATAGAGGAGATAACTAAAAGTATAGATAAAGAGGTACAAGAACTGAAAAAAAAACACTATCACAAGACAGGGAAAGTACAGCCAAAAGAGTACTGGAAATAACAGAAATGAATAAAAACACAATTCAGATTATTAAGACCGAAATGGCAAAATTGTCTGACATGCTGAAGGGAAAAAAAAAGGTGGGAGAATAGAAGAGATGGAACAGATAGTCAGTGAGTTAGAATACAAGAATCTCATTTGAAACATAATAGAATAAAAATCAGAGATGCAAAGTAAAGAAAATGAAGAAAACACTGCAATCATGTAGGACAACATCAAAGGGAACAACATGTGTATGACTGGAATCACAGAACAGGAGAGGGACAGGGAAATCATAGAGAAAATTGCAGAAGCTGTACTGGAAGAAAACTTCCCAGAAGAACAGAGAAATCCATATTCAAACTCAAAAATAGACCCAGCTTTCTATGGTCAACTGATATTTGACAAGGAAATAAAACCTATCAAATGGGGAAATCACAACCTCTTCAACAAATGGTGCTGGCAAAACTAGTTTGCTACCTTCAGAAAGCTGAAACAGGCTCCACATCTCACGCCATACACAAAAATCACCTCAGAGTAGATAAGAGACTTCGGAGTAAAGCCCAAAATCATAAAATTCATAGCAGACAAACTGGGATCAAGCTTAAATGCCCTAGTCTGTGGTATAAGAGACTGCCAAATACAGCCAGAAATGTGTAGTTTGATGAGGATGAAACTGATGAATGTGATCTTCTAAAGATTCAATCCCAGTGCTCATCAAAAACTATTCCCAACAGGGTGAAAAGAAAACCTACTCACTGGTAACAAATATTTGGAAAGACTACCT